AAAGTAAAACAGCTTACTATAAAATAAAATTATTATTTTAGGTTTTAAAATGGTGTGTTCACAATTGAAATAGCACAAGATTATAATAAATAGGCAAATTGGTAGTTATGATTTTGCTGAAACTCAAGGTGATGGGCAGTGGAGCGGTTAAGGCATCTCAATATTTAATGTTGACTGTGGTATTAAATTCCCTTTATTTTACTTATGTTCATCAGATTACCTGCAGCATTGGAGTGGTCAGCAGTTGTGTTAAGTGGTCTTGTCCAAACAATGGGAGACAAATGCAAAGTTAATTATTACCCACTTAGCTAATGAATACATAATGAGGCAGGCCACTACAAACTGGAGAATCAATACAGCTGGGTTGTTTGTAGTATCTTCCTTTGTATGAGCAGCAATGAAAAGCATTGATACGTTATGGAGATCAATAGGTAGAAATGATTGATTTTATTTCGTTCTGGAATTTTTTGATGTTCCCGCTTAAACCAAGGGTACTGATTGCCATTTACACCCCATTCTCATAGATTAGATCGACCTACATTGGATCGACCTAACTCCCTGGGGGTTCACGCTAAATAGCTGTCAGCCGGGCACGAAAGTTAATTACCCCTTAAAGCTTGTAGTAGGCGGGGACGGACACTTAAGGGGGATTATCTGACAGTAATCTAGTGAGACTCCCCGCGGTGATAGATCGATCTAAAAGTTGTGAGAACAGAGCCTTAGAATCATTATTAAGTGTAATGGTGTATTCCGCACTTAGATGTCCTCTGTCTGCTTGTATCTTTAAATTATTTTGTGGATTTTTTTTTTAGTTTGCCAAAGATAGCTTTGGGTATTGTTATTAGTTAGAAAATATTTATAAGCCAGGTTTCTCATATCTGTCTGTAGTTTCACTCACAGTTGTAACAAACTCTCAGGTGATATATAAAGGTGGTTGAGAAGAAACTAAGTCTGTAGATAAATAAAATAACCTTATGTTTTTTTTTCCATATTTGATTGCTGCAATATGTCTAAGTGGCATTCTTGTTTAAATTTCATTTTAAAGAAGAAAATGAATGTGTGTGTAATAAAAGAACAACAAAAATTGGCAAGAGATTAGAGACGTCTTTTCCATCTGTTTGCATCAATTTTGCCAAAACATTTTTAAAGAAATGAGATCTGTTGAAAAAGCAAAAGAGGTGGATTATTTGGAAAATACCAAGAAGGGAAGTATTGAAAAAGCAAAGTTAAATAGCAATTTTTTTCCTCTTTATTTATTTCATGCCTGTTATAAACTTCCGGTAGGAAAAAAAAGAAAATAGCATTTGCTTCCTTTTTTGCTTTTTTATGGTTACTATGATCTTGAGGATTAAAGGAAAAAAAGTAAAATTTGTTTAATGGAAAAGATAATAAACTGAACTCTTTTTATTCTGAAATCTTTTCAAAGAAGCAAATTGTTGATAAGTAACATAAGCAGTAAAGAAAAAGGGTACTTTTATTGAAAAAAAGGAAAGAAGGAAACGCTGTATAAAACTTTCGTACATTAAGTATGCATCTCAAACATGCCTCTCCCCTGTGGAGTTAACCAGCTGATGAAAAGGATTCCTTTGACCAGAAAATAGTCCCATCAGATAAGGAACATGGACATTGGCATAGACATATCAGGTATTTTATTGAAGGGAACAGTATTTTTTTTATTAAAGAGGACAGTACTTGAAATTAATTCTTTAAATCACTTAGTCTGTTTGAGTGCTCTGTCTGCAGAAACAAATGGCATCTTGCATCAAGTTTTGAGCTCCTGGTGGCTTGAACAATTTCATATGTACCATACATACATATATATTCTTTTGATTGTTTATCCAGTTTTTGTAGCAACAAATATGTTTGCTTTCAAGTCATCCCCTATCTCATTTTTAATGGTAGATGCATGTACAGTCTAAAGAAAAAAATTGTTAAGTAAATATAAATAACAAGGTAATGCATTTAAAAAATTGGTTTACATTTCAAGAGCAATGACAATTATCCTATTAAAACAAAAAAGATTGAATAGATATGGAAAATGTTCTACTGCAGTTTCAGACTTGATTTTTTGTTCCGGTTACTAGTGATAATAATAAGACATGAAAGAAAGAAAAGAAGAAAAGGGATTGATGAGGGTCATACCCCTGGACCAAAGTGAAGCTGTACAAAGTGGCATGAAAAAAGTTGTCTTTAGAACATATTTATTGATATTCAATGTTTCTAAAATTGTTGAGAAAAAGACAATGCCAAACTGCTGATAAACAAAACCCTAGCTATTTGCACTCTAGGGTTGTGTCACCATTGATTCTGTAGCAGGGGGGGAGCAGTAAGTCACACCTTCGGCCTTGTCCCATGTTGAGGTGTTACCTCAGATTATTCAACTTTTTCTTGCTTCACTGGCATAGATGCCCCCCTTCTTGATTAATACGGACAGAAAGACCACTGAGCCGTGAAAGTTTGTTGCGTTTGGAGGGAGTTGATTACGAAGGATGTATTTTGTCCGCCTTTTGACTTCGTGCTGTCAAGTTTTTCTTTCTTTTCACAGCACAGAAGTTTCAGATGTCATTATTTTTCCTGGCTGAAGTGTATAACCATGAGGAATATGACCTTTACCTTGGGTCCTGTCCATTTCAAAAGGATAATTACATTCCACAATATTCTAGGTTGTCATTTGTGTGAGTTGTATTTTGAGAAGTGTATAGTTAGGGGCGGATCCAGAGCTATTTACTGACAGTCTTCCAAATTATCTTTGTTGATGTTTCCTTCAATTTTGACCGTCTTCCAACAGAAAAAATTAGATACTCGTCAATGTAAACTTGAAAATCTGACCGTCTTCCGGAAGACCCAAAAGACGGCCTAAATCCGCCCCTGAGTTTGCTCTAAGTGATAGGAGAATGTTGCCATAATCAGGCCTGTAGTGAGCTATTTTAAAGGGTGGCTGGGGTGTATATCTGGAAAAATGGACCTTTTTTATATAGTGGTACCTTTTTGGTAATCCAACTTAGAAATGACATAGAACTTGGATCTTAATTTGATTTGGATTGCAACTTTTTGAGACAAAAGGGTGGTTATTTTGAGCCTCCCTTCCTCTACCAGAACACCTCTCCCTGCTATAATGGACCAAAAAGTATTAACCAGCCCCCTGTAGACAACTTTCAGTATGTCCTGTTTTCTCCTTACTGGCAAAATATAAAGTTTTGTAAAATGAGACTTTGCGAAAAAGATATGTGGAGCAGCTGTGAGACAAAATGTTTTTGTTCTGTTATAAGACTGAGAGCAGCTGACAACATCAGTTATGATTAGAAAAATATAAAGGAGGACTTCACTTACCATACTAGATGTTACAGTAGTAGCCTGGTAGGATATGGGGGATATTTCTATGAAATTTCTGGGTATAATTTAAAGCTTAAAAGTATTATCGTCTCATTTTAGAAAATGTGTCTTAGAAATATATCCTGCATTAGAAGTTCTGCACTTAGAGGAAGGGATTTGATATAATAGTGGGTGGGGTCAAATATAGAAAAAAAAGACATGGCTAGAAGTTGTGATAATTTTATTTGAGCAAATAGGATTTAATAGGCATTCAATAGACTGATATTCTACTTTGAGCAAGTATTAACTTTTTGTTAGGCTCATTAGTAGTTTTGAAATCACCTTCCATAAGTTTATTTTAAATCTTAGGGACCTTTGGGGAAATATATTGTGTTGCATATTATAACTTGATACCATCATGCCAGTGTTATTGAAGTAAGCTGACGCCTTTTCTGAAAAGATTTTTCTATTCGGACAATTAAGTTTTGAAAAGAACTGGAACAAGAAATTAGTTGGAATCATATTATCATATTGCATCACAACAGCTTAGTTGATTTGGAAGAAAAGATCCATCGCTTATTCATGTTTATGAAAAGTCCTTAATCCCAAGTACAAATCCTTGAAAATGTTTTAATAAACTAGGTAAATTAAAGGCTCCCCATTGTATTTTCCCCATATAAATGTTGATATTAGTTTTCTACAATGGAAGCTATGAGGTTGGTCCAGGCTAGGCCCTGTTTATGGAAAATAATTACAAACAATATAACAAAACTGTCAAATGTTGACCGAAAATTATTAGCACCAATTTTCTATCCCGAGTTCTTTCAATAGTCTTGATTAAGGGGTAATGGACAAAAAGTCGGCAATAAATAATCAATGGCTATATCCAGGGTCGGAAGGGGTTAGCGGACAAAAAGAAATTATATAACTGACAAAATATTGGAGATTTGAGTCTGGTGACAGTTTGTATAAGGAAAAGAATAGCAGGTTCTAGCAAACAGAAGCACAGACCAGGCAAAATGGTCCCCCTAGGCATGTACATACTTCTTATGGTGTGTGAATGTAGGCTGATAATATGGGTGAAACATTATGCTCAAGTGGACAGGGGTTTTCTCATCCTGGGCTTTTTTAAAAAAATTTTTTATTTTAATTTTTTTTAGCTCTTTTGACAATTAGTTCTTCGTTAGGTGTTGGTGTTATAATAATTCTGCTGGCTATTTATTAATGAATTTCAAGTACTAGTAGTCGGTTTAAGTAATGACAAACTTATAATAAAGTACATTAAATAAGGGATGTGATCAACAGTGGAATAAAATTAAACTGTATAAATAATACTGTGATGTAAATCCTATGTAAATGTTCCTATTTGTTTCAGTGCTGGTCACTGACTCCATGTGCAACCTCAACCTCGTGTTCTTCTGTCTCCTGCGACCATACGTCTCCATCCCAATTGCTACCTGCCAAAAAATCTATTTTCGTTGCTACTTGAAACTTAAGACATTGTAGCAAAACCAATTTCACCGCCTCTATTGATCTAGCATGCCTGGTTAGTTTTCAATGCAGATCAAAGAGGGTGGGAAATCAATCGTTTCGCTCCATTATCGATCTTGTTGTCGAATCATCCCCTCCATTGTTCACCTATTTCAAGGCAAGAGCTCAAGTGTTAATAGTTGACATAACGAAGAAAGAGCTTAAGTGAGATTGTAATACAAATGGGTTTACGGTTAAACGGTGACTTGGTCGTGTTCTGTATATGTGTTGATACAGGGATACAATTGGAGTATTAACGGGATTACCGGACCGACTACACTGGAGTTATTGTGATCAGGAAACTATTAGTGTGATCGGGGTGAAGGGTTAGTATTTACAGTTATTTTCCCTGTTGTTTGCACCGTCCATACTGAGCATCTAGACATAGCAGGTGCCCCGGGCCAACAACAGCAAGGCTGCACAGTTATCTACTAGGAAATACAACAGCCAGGAAATGAACTGTCCACAAAAAGTGTTTAAACTTTGAAGACAAAGAAGTCGACTGATTTCAACTGTCGACATTAGCAGGGACACCCAGGTAGACTTATGGTTTCATCGTAAGGTAAGAATAATAACCCAATATGAAGTGGCGTAACATCTTGACTGAGAAACATTCTGCTGACCGCTGGGTATTTGGTTGGTAAAGGTTCAATAAAGTTGTGGTCATTCCTATAGAGGACTTATAATAAGTAAGTGGTAGTCTGTATGAAAGGGAGACTTAACAGCCATTCAGTGAGCTACCTGGGTACATAGGACTTGGTTTTACTTGAAAGACAGAAAGATTAGGAACAGAGACCGTAAGGAGCCTGCTTTTTTTCCAACTCTCTCCATGCAGTTTGGATGTGGTCACCCTGAGTTTCAGATCAGATATTAGAAACAGCAGAGGCAGGCTGATAGTGGAGAATCAGGCTTCCAGTGGACATCTTCTGATATTCAGGGTGGACATTGTAATGGTTGGCCAAAAATACTAATTGAGAAACCCTGAAAGAATGAATAGAGAATACTTGGCGAGTGGATTAGTGAATTAAAGCACTTGTAAGAGTGAGTTTGCACGATTATTGGCTTAATACGCCCTGACACAAATATGATGATACAGTGGATATAGGGCAGCTTGAGGACTAAATACTGATCATCTTAGTACACTGGTTAGTACCATGAGGCACTGTTTGGAAGGACATGCTTCTTAAATGAAGTATTTCTTTCAAAATAAAAAAAAGGTTTGGTTTTCTTGGTTTTCATTTACAAAACAGTTCACTTATCTGATGATTATCATTGAATCTTTAGATTTTCATTAGTGCAGCAATTGCCATTATCTATCATACTGTACATGAAACTTTCATGATTTGTCTCAATCTTTCAACATAAGCATTTACATTTTTGCATCATGTAGAAAATAGCTGATTAGCTGAAAATAGCTGATGCTGATGAAAGTAGCTAGTGCTTGGAAACAATTTTTTCTTCAAATATATTGTAGAAAGACTTGCAACATGGCATCAAAAGCAGTGATGCTTAATTTTATCTGCCCATCAAATAAATCAAGTGTTAACATCACTTTGAGCTCCCCTGTATATGAGCACTAATAAGGCAGGTGGTTTAGTGACAGTGTTCTTTGGAGTAATATGTAATAAGCCAGTATCTCATTATACTATGGTCTGTAGCCTTCTGTTGCCTGTGAGTTGAACAAGGTGTGAAACACCTTCAGATGCAAGGTTACAGAGGGTGTCAAAACTTAATGCATGACCCAAAGTTGATGTATTTAGAATCTATATTCTTAACAGTGTTTACATCTTAAATCATGTTAAATTAAAGAAGGTACAAACTGCAAGGTAAACTGTAATTTAGTAAATAGAACTGATTTCTATTTTTCTCTGTGGATAAAAGAAAGTGGCTTAATACTAGTGCTTTCATGTAATTAAAGATATATTAGCAGTAATATAGGGAAGTCTTATTTGTGTAGGAAGTGCCAGTGTCAAGTCTCAGGTGTCATCTTATCAGACAACAAAGTAAAATCAATAGTCAATCTCTACCTGTTAATAATGCCCACTGGAGGTAACCTTTAGCAGTTACTGACATGCATGTTCAAAATAGATGTGGTTCTTGTTCTCAGCAGGTAAGTTAATGGTACTATTTTATGAAATGAGTCTGTTATTTATGTAGTTTTTTTTTTTTTAAATTTACATAGAGATACATTTATATGATTTCTAAGAGGGTTCAGAAACCCTGGAAGTATTGGTATCGTACTTCTCCAAAGGACTACATGTCAAAATATAATATAATATAGCCTTTAAACCATACTTTTAATGAATGAGCATTTAAGACTGCCCTGGTATAGAAACATTGATAATTTATATCACATCAGATCAAAACCATTCTCATTCACATCAATCCATCGTGATTTTTTCACTGGCACACAGTAATGATTCCAAATATTGTTTTGTTCCTGCCAAGGTGAGAATCAAATCCCCCCTGGCATGTGTTTGTCAAGACCCTTTTGTTTTAGCGCTCAGTTTTGAAGTGCCTCCTCTGACCATGTGCCTCCAGTTCCAATCAATAGGGCACACTTACTGCTTGCATAACTTTAAGTTTGCAAATATTAATTCCAAATTAAGTGATTAACTGAAGGATACTTGGTAATTACCAGGCACCCACTCCAGTATTAACTGATATTTGAAGGTTGTTATCTGCAAAGAGATGGTTTTTACAAGAAGGCACTTTGGACACCTGTCCTGATGACAGATTAATATGTAAGATACTTGCCCAGTAAGACAGTACAGATGGTGTCAAAGAGAGTGTGGGCAGTGCAGCTGGCAATGATGCTGAGCAATATATAGATAAAGATAGTTTATTGTAATATTGAGCACACCACTGCTGCTGAATATGTTACAGAAAAATTACAAAACAATAGAAGATAAAAACTGATGATATAAAGTAAGAAATTGTGTGTACTTATTATCAACCAGCAAAGCACCACTTCATTTTTTTCTGTATTATTACTCTCACTGAGCAAGGTTTGTATGTGCCATAGCAATAAGTGCTTCATTATCACTTATAATATAAATGTATATGATTGAATTGGAGGTTGGGAGATCTGGTTGAATTACAAGATATTGGACAATTAAGAAGCAGAGGCGTTTTGTGGCCTTTATACAGGTTGTAGGTGTCACCAGTTGCTTTGATTTTGAGCAACAAAATTAAAGGTTAACTTCATGCTCAAAGGCAAAACATTTTTCTTAACGTGATAAAAAATAAACAACGAAATAACATTGATGTTTATGTATTTCCAGTTAAACACAATTTTCTCTAAGGTTTATCTTCAAGGTAATCACTAAATGCAATTAGTAACTAGCAATTTTACAGTTAGCAATCATACAATGGTCCATGTTGGAGATACACAGATAAAGAGTGCCTTCGCTCACATCCTTTGAAGTGGCACCTCTTAACTATTTTGCACAACAATTCCGTCTTAAGTGCCCCTCCCTTGCTCTGTCCTTTGTGTAAGCAGGTGATTTACCTACCTGTTTTAAGAGGGTTAAGTGTGTACTTCACAGTGATCAGGTGTTTACCTGTATTTACTTCTTAATTATAACAGATGCAGTGGTATACCTGTACCAGTCACGTTGTTAATTGCCCTCTCTCAGGGCCACAGAAATGGTCCAGGGTCCACGTTTGTCAGAGCTAGCTGAATAGAAAGTTTTCCTTTGCTTTACTGGATTTAAATGTTATGAAAATCAGAAAATATTTTTAAAAAATGCAATTTAACAAAGAAAAAAATAAAGAAATTTAAAGAAAAAAATTTTAATTGCCCGCTGTGGTAGCCATAAACTTAAGTCTGGGTATGCAAGGCTGAAAGCAGAGCAGTTAGTATGATGCACAGTTTGAAGCCACATTTTAAAATAAACTGTGTTATAATTTGGCATATCACCTGCTGCTTAATATCATTAAAATCTTGCTGTAGTATCTCACTTGTTTCATGCTAATGGAACAGGCTCAAAGAGGCATATTTTACACCAACAACTTGTAAGCACTTGATGTACTTATTTTTCAATACAAAAACATGATTGCCACCTAACAATACTCAAAATATAATATATTTAATATATTATTATATTAATTAATACATAAAGTAAAATAGAAGGGAACAATTAAAAGATGTGGAAGTACCTTCACTGCATGGTATGGACAAACCTGTTATAACGTTGTCTACCTCACCCCCCCCCCTCTCTCTCTTACACACATACACACATACATACACACACACGCACACACACACACACAACCCCCTCCCTACCCACACCCCTCTTTTATTTAGCCCTGCTCCAGGATAATCGACAGCTCCCCATTTCTTATTGGGAAATAACAAGGTGTTAAATTAGAACACAGGTAAACACTGCCCAGAGGGCTGCTAATTATAACAGGTGTGTGCACTTGAACAAGTTAATTAAATTTGTTCTTGGTGTTAATGTGAAGAGGTTTGGTGTCCATGCCACTTTCACTTTGGAAAATAGTATAGTGAATGAGAGAAGGCTGTTGATGAGACTCAAAAAATTGATATATATGCAAGAGAATATTGGTAGAACTCAAAAGAGCTGTGTTGGATGGAGAACCTGAACAGAGAATCCAGAACAGGTACTGTAACAGTAAGACTGTAGAATGATAATGATGCAGCTGGCCAACTGTATATGTTCTAAGATTTAGGTAATTCAATAGCAAAATTTGTATGGAGAGGTAAGATGAATAGAATATGTGCATAGATTTGACAACTAGATAATTCCTTTTTTGAAGAGTTTGCCAGTTTGTAAGGTTGATATGTTGCACGTGTAAATAAATATTTGTTAGAGAAAATCATGTGCATACCAACAGTCATGTCCTTTTTTATTGCTTGTTTAAGTTTAGGCCCAAGGCTTAGGAAGGTATTGCCAATGCTTATCACATTCTGTTCACGAGAATTCTAATGTCAAAAAAAAAAAAAAAAAAAAAAAAAATCCAGATACCAGTGAGTTAATTGAATTAAAGTTTTGGCATTGTAGTAATTTCTTTTTAATGACTTAATAGAAAGATATGGTTGGTCAGCCATGAAAATGGCAAATTGGATTGGACAGTCCCCATTAATGACTGTCACCTAAGCCTTGTGCTGTAGCCTTGGGGCTGGTAAAGGTGGGAAAAAGGGTAATTTGAGGGCTTGATACTCATCAGAGAGTTAAAGAGTTTATAAAGAGTTTCATTTCAAATTCTAAACACTTGTCTTAGTGGATATAAGTAAGTGATTAATGTGCCAGAGGAAAATGCTTTGTGATAACCAGAGTAGCCATTTTAATTATTTTATGCTTGTTCACCCTAGACCAGGTATCTTAACATGCCTCTGTAGAAAAATTTAATGTTTTCTGGTCAACAGCTATATTGGCTCTATATTACATCTAGTTACGATAATGGTTTCTTCTTAACAACAGCTAAATTTGCAGTTATTTCTGCCCCAATATTTTATTTTCTGCAGAAGGTAAGGAGTACTGGAAAGACGACAAAATATTGGAATGAAAATAGCAATTTTAGCTGTTGTTGCGAGATACTTATTGTAACTTCATTTTCATTATCGATTATTTCATGATCTGCACTCGGTCTTCTAATACAAATAAGGGGGAGTTATTTATAGCATGATAAACAATTAATAAAGAACAGGACTTCCACCAGTGCAGCATGTCATAATACTGATAATTTGCGGTTCTTGCCTCGGTGACTATTGAGTCAGTTTTTTCAATTGAATACGACTGATTGCATTGTATATCAATACATGTTGCAGGTAGACTTCATTGATTAGACTTTTGTGAATGGTACTTATTTTTTTTCTTGCATTGATTTCAACTGCCATGTTATTTGCTGAGACGTTAAGGACGTACTAGCATCATGCTACGGTACTTGCAAGTTAACCAAGTTAGATATATAAGTATCTAGAACACATAAAGAGGTCTCAGTCAAGACCAAAATTTAAATTATGATGAAATAGAAAATTTTCAGTAGAAATTAGGCAAACTGCATTTGGTTGAAATTGTAATTACTTCTTTTCCTCCTGAAAAACCACCTATCCTGAAAATCTCATCAAAAGTTATGAAAAACATTTTTAGATATTTTGACTACTAACAAACAAACAAGCCAACACCAATGAAGAACGACCTCCTTTGCTGGTGAAAATTTATGAAAAACATTTTTAGGTATTTTGACCACTAACAAACAAACAAGCCGACATCAATGAAAAAAAAAACCTCCTTTGCTGGTGAAAATAAATAGTGAAGAACAGGGCTTGATCATGTTGCATATGATGCAGTTTAGTTTTATTGTATGTATCATATGCTGTGGATTAGGATGATGGAATATTTTGCAACTCTTGTTGAAACATGTTTTAAAAAGTTAAAAGGGCAACGAATATATAGAGGGGTTAAAATGGCAATCTTTTGTTAAAGTTGAGTAATGCTGGCAATTGCAAAATAGGAGATTTTGTTTGTTGTCAGTTTTTAGGTTTAAGTGTAGCTTAAAGCGTAGTAAAACCATGGGATGTCTGTCTGATGGAGGGAGATAAATGTGTTTTTCAAAGGTTATCTGAGGAAAGTCAGGTTTCAGTTTCTCTTTTTCATTCTGTACTTTCATGTTCATTTTTATCCATTCTTCTCTCTCTCTCAAACACATGCACACACACAACCACACACACACACACACACACACAAACACACATGCACGTACACACACACACACACACACACAAACATTTATTACAGCTCTGACTTCCTCTCTCCCTCCCTCTTCCTCTCTCTCAGCACAGTTCTCATAAAGATCTTAGCCATAAAACTTTTCATACAGTTTCCACCATTTAAACAATTTTAAATAAATTAATGGAATTCCAGACACAATTTAATAAAAAAAATTACCAATCCTATGGTAACAGTTCACTGCTGTAGATCGGGATATCAGTAATTCCCCAGCTATGCGGTGTCCCAGTGGGATGGAGATGAGATGTCCACACAGATCCCGTGTTAACTCACACTTTGAGGAGAAAAGGTAACTGAGAAGATCTAGAGATGGAACTCCCATCCTCCTTGGAAAGAACCATGGTTTGATCTGATGTGTAACAGCATAGGTTAGAAACATGCATGAGGATGATTTATGCATTGGCCATGGCACAAGGCTGAAACTTACTTGCCCCGGAAGGTGGATTAGTAATTGTTTTCCAAGCTGCATGGCAGTGTTTTCTTTAGCAGTGGGAGTAAAGCTGAAGCCTGGGGGATTTTTAACCAAGTCTCTGCCAGGAGGTTTCCTCTATGGCTCTGGACACGGGAGATGTGGCGGGTGTCACACTTGATCTCTAACTGAGGCTGCGATTTAGTAAAAACAAATCTCTTGAGCAGCGGGACTCTTGTTTTGTTTCTCTCCAGGCAGGGAGGAGAAGAGAGGGGCACAGCTATATACTTTGTATAGTAGAGGCGAGACAGGTGATATAGAGACAGCAGAAACATATATTTAGTAAAGTCTTACATAGGATGTAACTAGTATACAGCATTTCAGTTTGTTTGATTTGTTTAGATTTTTTCTAATGTTGTGTGTTTTTGTCTATAGTTATGAGGTTTGTTGAACTTTTCAAATGAGAAAGATGTTTTAATCTATTATGAAAATGCTCTCATAAGTGGATGTTAAACACAAATAAAGTGTTTTTTATATACTTGAATAATATTTTCAGTGATGTTTCTTGTGAAGAAAATGAACAAGGATAGTTTATTTTCATATAAGAAAGATTGTAGCAAACAATCTTTGAAAAATGTACTCGGTGCTGTAAAAAAGAAACACTTTTCTGTTTCTCTTTTTAAAAGTCTTTTCTCCGTAATTAAAGATGTCCTCTGCCAAGCTCCTGGAGGTTGTCTCCCTATCATTAGTAATTGTCCATGTCAGGGGCCACTGGGCATTGCCTCTGTGCCCTGTGTTGAGGACAATAAATAAATATCAGTGACTATCCATTGTGAAAGGTAGAAATGTTTTTCACACTTGCCTGGAATCTGTATTGTTGGTGAACAGAAAGTAATGTATCCTGTAGCATTCCTTTGAGTTTGGAGATTGGTGATTTTGTCACATTACTCACTTCCTTGTCCTGCTGTCCTGTACTGCAGATATACAGAGGCTGTGGTGTATGCTTGTATCACTAGGAGGATTACCAGACACTGAGGCCAGCTTCACTCAAGAACTGTAGAAATTTGGTTATTACTTTTAGACCAAAATTTTATTTAGTCTCCTTCATTTCTGGAGAGAGCTGCAATATAAAAAAGAGGGTAATTATTAGCCTAAACCACGACCCATCCATCTTTTGTTTGATGGGTCATAGGACTAAAACAGTAGCTGCTTCTGTCTTATTATATAACAGACACAATATTTCATCTGATGGGACAAATGCTAATTTATCTTGGGGTCCAAGTAAATTGGAATAATGGTTGAAAGATAAAATCAACTTTTGGTGTAACTTTTTGAAACCAGACACTGGTTAAGATTAGCTTAGGTTACAGTAGTGTCATCAGTTTGTGGAGTGATGCTGCAGACAGACAGACAAGCAACTGTAGGAGCATTTCCAATGAAGTCTGATGTTGTCTGGGCAAAGACCTGGTGTGATAAACTTATTATTGTATTTCAGGAAGGACTGTTTAAAAGAATTAACTGTTGGTAATATTAGTAAGTGAGGGAGTGAGATTTTCCCAGGAGTTTTTTTTTCTTAAATTTAGCTGGAAGCTTGTTTTATCATTGTATGAGGTGAGCATGATTTTCATGTAATTTGTTATTTTTTCTAGGTCTTTGAATTCTGTTCCACTTTGAAGTAGTTGCTTCTGGAAAACAAACAGACCTTATACAGTTGTAGCCTGTTCCAGAATGCCCAGTCTACATGATTGAAAGGTAATTAGATTAATTGCTATAGAGAAAAATTGATAATTATTTGTTTCTGAAACTGCACCATGTGTGCAGTATTTTTATGCTTTTAGAACTGACTTTCAGAAAATTGAATTCTTGTAAAAAATGCCTCTGTTTCAGAAATTAAGGGTGCCATGTGGCATCCCTGACTTAAATTTGGTATTGACATATCTATATTTAATACTGCACTTACTCAATGGACAGATGATAATGCTCATCAACAAAACCAAATGATAAGCCAAATTGAAACCAAATGATTAAATATAACATGAAAATTAAGTTGATTAAACAGATGTCCTGAAGTTTGTTTGTTACCTGCCACTTTGCTGGCTCCTTGTTGTTCTAGCTTACCTCGTTCAGTAATCAGCTCTATTCAGCTAATTACCCAAATCCCCAGATTAGCAAGGGATTACCCTGACTGGCTACTTTATTAACATGATTAGTACAGGTACAGGTGGGTTAATGGACAGATTAGAAAAGGACGCTTTGGAAATTTTACTCTCTGCTTGGATACTTTATTCATGTAGGTTTGGTGAATTAATAGATAGTAATCTATAGTGAAAACAATAATTTAGGCATAAGAGGCTTTTAAGTGATTATCAGGAGAAGAGGATTTATTTGTTTTCAATCATTTGGTGCTAACAGCAGTGTTTATTGATTCAGAGGAGCTTTGGTATGTTTGTATTTAATAACAACTATATCATATAGATTTTTCTATCAGAATGAGTTAGAGACAACAAGATTGGTTTTGCTTTTATTTCCATTGCCGTCACATGGGGTAAAAAACTAACATCATGTCAAAATCAGAATGATTGTGTTATTAATATTTATCAGAAATTCATGGTTTAATGCATTGCTGGAAAAAAAGTGAAAAATTAATTGAGATAAGAACTGAAAATGATATCAGTTGTTCTATAAAAAAAAACACCCCACTACATGTGATTATTTAAAATACAAAGAAAGTTCTAAAAATTCAAAAAGTACAGAACCCCATGGAATGTTTACATGAAGAATCTTTTTTTTTTCTATTTTTGCAGCTTTCACCTGGTATCACATTGTAATCATTACATCACCCCTGCCCCACTTAAACGAGTCTCGCGCGGCATGTCTCACCTTTCATTGATGCCCGCCAACAGATCTAAGACACTGCCGGCATTACAGAACTTTACATAACTTGCTAAAACCAGCACCCAACCTCACCAAATTGGCATCTTAGTTAGGCCACATATGCATTTGGTGCATGGAAAGATGCAGGGTTTGCATAGTGCAAGTGTGTGCAGTGCATAGATTTGAACATTTGCTTCTTTGTGGCATATTGAAACTGGTACTTTACTTAGTATGCAGTTCCTGCAGTATGCTTCTATGCTATACAGTACATATTTTTGTGTTTGATTACCCAAAGAGATCACATTTTGACGAGTAGTTTTTCTTTTCTTTTTCTATTTGCACAGCCCGGTTTTATTTGTTGGTGGTTTAAAATATGTAATTTTATCCTTAATTCTACTTACCAAATACTCATAAAAGTGAGGATCAGCTGTCCAACACTTACCATTGATAGCAATCTTTGTATCTGGTGACTGACCTTCAAAATACACCTAAAATTGAAATGAAATAATAATAATAATAATAAAACTTAAACCAAAAATTGAAGTGCAGAACTGATATAAGAAGTTGAAGAGATTTTCAGAATTATTCATCCAGGCATACAGATAATTCAAACTTTGTATCCTAATTCTGTAGATTACAAAAAAAAAAGTTGTTTTTGTATTACATGTCTGTTCCTTCCATAAGTCAATCACTGAGTAGAGTGTTTACATGAAAAATCTTTCTTATTTTTACCACAGAAAAACTTGCTAGGCCCTGGTGTTTGCTGCCTGATCCCATGTTGCTTGAGGCAATGTTATAGGTGAATACAACTTGTAGTTGTAGAATCAGATAATCATGGACGTGTATCTGAGCTAAAAGGGTCATGTCATCTCGCAGTACCAGGAGAGATCTTCTGTTTTGTTTCTCCTTTGCTGTCACAAATGAATTTGGGTAGTCTTTCTTGTTTTGTGTCAGATTTGTACATTTATTTGCCTGGTTTATATGTTTCTTTTGGTGCTCCAAGAGCCTATTAGTTACAAAAAGGCATATTTTAAATGTATTATTTTAGCTATCTTATCCAATTGAAATGAGTTTGGAATTTTTGTTGAAATATTTTCACAGAAAAATGTGCAGAAATAGTGTTGTGCTGCTAATAATAAAACAAAAATATCAACACCACCATAACACACCTCATAGATTCTCTGAGGAACCTTTTTCTTGACGTCTTATTTCATGGTTGAAGCAGCAACCTTTCTTCAGGTACTTCCTTGAACATGTTCACATTACCCTTCATTTGGAGATCAGGGGCCTGTTTCATGAAAAATAACTTTGGCCCGAAAATTGGTCTTAACTGTATTACAGTGCTAAGGTAAGAAAACTAAGGTACTATTATTGATGTGAATGGTCTTTATTCAAATTGGTGCAAGATAAATAGGAAGCGGTCTAATTAAATTAAACGTTTTGGACCAGTTTGTAAGATGAAATAAATGATTACCCTTTTAGAGACACTGTTCATCAGAGCTGAAATAGACCGAAACTTTGGCTAAAAAGTTAAAGACCATCTTTCGGTCTTAATTTTTTTTTTTTTTTTTTTTTTTTTTTTTGTGAAACTGACCCCAGTGCTGTGATACATCAGCACTGATAATGTCCGTCTTCTGCTCAAGATTGTTGCCTTGGAGGCAAAGGCCGAACCACTTAAACTTCACATTAAAGACATATCTCAGGTTGTTTGTGGAAGGTTCCATGGTGCAAGATTGAAAAACAGGCTGTACAGGTGAGAGTAAGGTGGATATTTTGTTTGGTTTAGATTTTTTTTTTATCTCACATTTGAAAAATGAGTAGAGTAACTCAACTGGTTTGGCTTTGTTTCAAGGCATACATATCAATTATGCAGAAAGAATCATTGAGAAGTCGAGTTCTACTTGAAAACACCCAGTTTTTTAAAGTTTTTTTCTTAAATATCATAGTACATTGTTTAAGATTTGAAACAATATGCAGTGAAAGCAGACATTTTGTTATCAAAAATGTTCAATTAGAGTTGTTTGTGTTGATGTTTTGCTTGTTAAACAGCAGATGTCCCCATTCCTCTGGGTTCTGCCTTCTGTTTGTTCTGATTTCGTGTAAAATCCATAAACAGAAGTTTCTGAAATCTTGTATAGAGCATGATAAATATTTCAACAAGCAATATTTGTCTATTGACTGAGTACTTATAGACAAAAAGCAATGCAGATGCAGTACTTATACCTAGTATTGGCCCCCTCAGGGTACAGACATTGTAAGGCACTTTGAGCATTTCGATTTGATTGACAGTACTGCTCTCTCAGTTAAATGAATTGCTTGTCTTGAAAATGAATTTTTTTTTCCTTGGGGGAGGTGCACACATAAACCTAAATTTTGGGGCAACCTAAAATTAAAAACGATCCCATTTTATGAGATTAATATAAATTTACGTAATATGAAAAGGCCAATAAGTATTTAAAATGCATGTAATAAGACTGTAACTTTTTATTTTTTATGTCCTGTTATTTTTTCTTGTTGTTATGTTCATGTGAAGAGAGGGAGTGATAGCCTTCTGTCATTTATACATCCATGTTAAGTGTACACTTATCTGCATGGTACTGTGGATGTCAAAATGTTTTAAATAAGTTTTTGAAACAACTACTCGCAGAAGCATTTACTGTAATTTTTTAGGGTCCTGACTTTTTTTATGCATCAAACAAAAATTTCAGTCAAGCAAACACTTGCATCAAAAGTTAAGTAGTTTTTTCAGTTGACGCCAGAAAGTTCCTTTGTTCTGCCTCAAAAGTAAGACAACACAAAGAGCATGGCTCATACATAAAGTTTCAAGATGTTACACTCAGTTAAAAACATCACTCAATCAAGATGTGCTTCAACATTGTTTCACCCAGGTCGCAGATCAATCTTGCTTTGGACCACGAGACACGCGTCTCCGGCATGGAGAGAGGCCTGCTGGGAAGGGCCGGGATCGAGGGCTTTTTCTGCGGTTTGATTACAGCAGTTTTGATTGGTCTGCCGCTTCCTTACAAGGGGGACAGTTTATCTTTTAATTGATTTGTTGGTACTTGGGTGTATATTCACCACTGTGTCATTGCTTTGTTGTGCTTATTTACTTGACATGGTAAAACTGGAAGGAAATGGAATAAATGGACAACATGTGGAAAGATAATGATATTAAAAGGAAAATGGCTGAAAAAACAGGGACTTAAAAAAAATGGAATAAAAAAGGCAACGTTCGTATAGATCATTATCTTTAAAAGATAATCAGGGGGGAATCTAGCAGGAAAATAGAATTAAAGGACAAAATGTGGAATTGCTGCAGATTAAAGTTTTTCCTATGAATATAATGAAGAATTGCTATAGTGCAGTTTGTGCAGCATGAATACATCTCAGCATGTTCTGAACCGGCAAAAGCAGATAAAGAATTGATTGCTGTATTGAAGATAACTAAATTCTGAATTATGTTTGTGTATGTGCGTACACAAATCTACATACGCCTGTGAGTGTTGGTGTGCATTTTCAGTAAAACCCATGCATGGCCACATTATGAACAAATGAAGTTTCTCTTGGCAAGCTCTCTGTTCCTCCAGGAAATTGTTGTAAATGTCACATCTATACACACGCTCCAGCTATCACACATGTTATGCTTGGTAGTGATGAGATATGGAGCAATAGAGAGGAGGTGGAATGATGAATATGTCATATTTCCTCAGATAACCAGGGAGGTTGTGTGTATGAATCATTGGAGGAACGCAGAAAACATTTGTCTTACTCAAGAAGGTAACGTGGACGTGCAAGGTTAGACATAAATGCAAGGATGGATGCCTTCATGTAATATCACTTTTTCTCAGTAATTCTATAGTTGCACCCTGAGCTTCTGG